GGCCGCATTCGGCCTGCAGAAGCGTCTTGGTCGGACCTTCTGCGTTTTAAGGAAGAAACACTCAAATCAATAAATACAGACGTGAGAGAAACGCCTGGCAACGCTTGGCCACGCTTTCACGTGGCAGCGATGTTCAGGTTGGGCGTTCTTAGTGCCCCCCCCCCCCATTTCCGTTATTTCTTGTCTCTGGAGGCGTCCGGCAGCCTCGGCTGCTAGGCGGACAGTGCCCGGGTTGCCGGAGGCCTCGGCCCTCCTCGCCGGCCCGGGAGAGATGGAGCTGAGGGTGCAGGAGGGATGGGGTGGCGTGGTTGGCAGTGCGGACCCAGAACCTCAGGACCGTGTCATGCTGCCTTGACTCAGGGCTGCGCCTGGCGCCCGCCGGGGAGCGCTGTCTCAGCGGCGCTTCTTGCCCAGCGCGAGTGCGTGACCTCGTGTCCGGCTGTCACGGCTGCGGTGAGGTGAATGCCGCCCCATCTTCCTTTACCTCCGAGAGGAGTCTGACTCAGTCACCCCGCTAGTGACTGTGGGGGCGGAAGTTTGATCCTTGTTTTGTGATTCTCATACTTCTGCTCCTCCTGGAGCATGAATAGGGGGCTTCGTGGCAACTTTGATGGGGGGTGGAGGTGGATGGGGGATGTGTGGGAGAAACCCGAGCTGTCCCCTGGGGGAGGGCGCCCTCTATTGGCCCACAGCGGGAGTGAGGGGCTGTCTGACCCGGACTGAGACCTGGAACATGGGGTGCAGGGGTGGCAGCATTATTCCGGAAGCTCATCTCTCCCTGCTTTTCTCTCCTGCTATAAATTGCTGCTGGGGATGGGTATTTAAGACGAGGCAGGATTTCTACTTTTTTATGTTTTGTTCTATCAGTATTCACTGAGTGCTTGTTTTGTGTAAAGCTCCAGGCCCTAATGTTCTGTGAGGCATAGAGACTTCTCTTTTAGCGCCCAGGCTTTCCTCAGAATCCTTCCTGGTGCGGCTTAGTCTTTAAGGATGTTGTCCCAAGTTCTTAAAATTGCATGAACGACTCTTTCTTTCTTTTTTTTTTTTTTAAATATGTTTTGATTTTTTTTACAGAGAGGAAGGGAGAAGGAGAGGGATAGAGAATTAGAAACATCGATCAGCTGCTTCCCCCACACTCCCCACTGGGGATGTGCCTGCAACCAATGTACATGCCCTCAACCAGAATCGAACCTGGGACCCTTCAGTCCTAAGGCCGACGCTCTATCCACTGAGCCAAACCAGTCAGGGCATGAGCGACTCTTGAAGAGCTGGCCCCTGGCCATTTTTCTTCTTTTAAAAAAATTATGGTGATGCATACATATATACTAGAGGCCCCGTGCACAAATTCGTGCACAGGTGGGGTCCGGTAGGCCCGCCCGGATGTGTGTGTGGCGGGTTGATCGGGGGTGGGGCTAGTGGGGGGGAGGGGCCACAGGCTGTTGGCTGGCTGGCCCCGCCCCCTGGTCGAACTCCTGGTTGAAGGGATGATTTGTATATTAGCCTTCTATTATATAGGATAATCATTTTAATCGTTTTTAGGTGTAAAGTTCAGTGGCACTAAGTCCATTCACATTGTTGTGCAGCTGTCACCACCACCCATCTCCAGAGGTTTTTCATCTTCCTAAACTGAAACTGTACGCATTAAACACTAACTCCTTATTCTCTCTCTCTCTGGCACCCACCATTCTACTGTCAGTCTCTATGAAATTTGACGACTCCAAGTACCTCATATACATGAAATAGTACAGTATTTGTCACTTTGTGACTGGCTTGTTCTGCGAATCATAATGTCTTTAGGGTTCGTCCTTGTAGTGTCAGGATTGCATTCCTTGTTAAGGCTGAATATTAGTCCATTATATGTATGTCCTACATTGTGTCTACCTGTTCATCTTTAGATGGACATCTGGGTTGTTTTTACCTTTTGGCTATTGTAAGTAGTGCTGGTAGAACATTGGGGTACACATATCTGTGCGAGTCTCTGTTTTCAATTCTTTTGGGTAAATACCCAGAAATGGAATTGCTGGATCATATGATAACTCCACATTTAATTTTTTTGAGAAACTGCCATTCTATTTTTCACAGCAGCTGCACCATTTAATTCTCACCAGCACTGCACAAGAGTTGCAGTTTCTCCACATTCTCTGCCACTTGTCATGTTAGGTTGTTGCTTTGAGAATTGCTATCCCAATAGGTGCAAAATGTGGTTTTGACTTATATTTTTCCTTATGAGTAGTGATATTAGACATCATTTCTTGTGCTTATTGGCCATTTGTATCTCTTCTTTAGAGAAATGTCTATTCATGCCATTTTTATTTTATTTTATTATTTTTTTTTTTAAAGAATTTTTTTATATATATATTTTATTGATTTTTTACAGAGAGGAAGGGAGAGAGATAGAGAGTTAGAAACATCGACGCGAGAGGAACATCGATCAGCTGCCTCCTGCACATCTCTGGGACCTTTCAGTCCGCAGGCCGATGCTCTATCCACTGAGCCAAACCGGTTTCGGCAGATTCATGCCATTTTTAAATTGGGCACCAGGAGCTGTCCCCAGGGGAGGATCGCCCTCCGTAGGCCCATAGCAGGAGGGAGGGGCTGTTTGTTTTTTCTGTTGAATTAGGAGTACTTTATATATTCTGGATGCGAACTCTATTCCACGTGTTTTGCAGATGCTGTCTTTCATTTTGTGGGGTTACTGTCCGTCTTTCATTCTTCCTCCATTCATCCTATGTAACCCGCCCCATTTCACCTCATGTTGGAGCCACATGCAACTAATCTCAGTTCTCAGAGGCTGTGTTTTGCATTCCTCTATGAATTGTTTGTGATTTCTCCTTAGCTGAGGGGGAGTTGGAGTGTGTGTGGGGGGTATGCCAGCAGCTGTAAATAAGACCGGTCATGTCAGGCTTCTTCACCACGCCTACACCAAACACTGTCACAGAGGTCATTGCTGCAGTCTAGACGCGGGTGAGCTGCTGCCCTGTAAGAGTGGCTGTTCATCATTTAGAGCAGTGGTTCTCAACCTTCCTAATGCCGCGACCCTTTAATACAGTTCCTCATGTTGTGGTGACCCCCAATTTCATTGTTACAAATTGAACATAATAAAAGCATAGTGATTAATCACAAAAACAGTATGTAACTATATATGTGTTTTCTGATGGTCTTAGGCGACCCCTGTGAAAGGGTCTTTCGACCCCCAAAGGGGTTGCGACCCACAGGTTGAGAACCGCTGATTTAGATGAAAGAGGATTTGGTTTGACCTTGGACTTGTATCACATCTATGCTGCTTCTTCCAGGCTCTATAACCTTTCTAAACCCAAACCAGTTAGCTTTCTTAAATCTCTGTCCCTTGGTTGCGGCACTGTTTGTCCGGATTGTTAGCCAGGTTCGGGTTTTCTTAGTGTACGCCCTGTTGTTCCACCTGGTCGCTGGGGTGGTGTGAGGGTCAGTGAAAAGCTGTAAGGAACGTTCTGGTCCCATGGAGGTCAAGTGCTGCACCAGCACAGGCCCTGATTTTAGGACCCAAGTGGGCAGGGCTCTGAGGAGGGAAA